TATTAAACACTCAAAGTACTTACTCTCGTCGTCTCTAATATCCGATTTCCAGACTTAGTCAATGACTTTCATATTTATGCTAAGTGGAGTCACCTTGTTATGATGCTCTCCGTACAATCTAGAGGTGTTCTATCATTAGCTTACACCTTTGATCTTTATACAAGCTTTCCTATAATATGCTATTATAGCAAAGTCATTGAATGTCAATTACTACAAATACACACATACAATATTATTTGATAAATTAATAATATATAATATCACATTCATCCATCCTCAAAATGAAATTTTATTTGAACAATCAGAAAACTTAATTACTATAAATAAATTCTATTACAATTATAATTTCATACAAGTACGATACTTAAAACTAATTTAAACTTCAGTTACTTTAATAGTATCAAAATGTACAAGATTATAATCACGTACAGGTACCGTAGGTTGTGTTGTACAATATTTTTTAATCATGCTACAACTAATTAAAATTATAAAAAGAATTTTAATGCTATAAATTACATAGTTATAATTTCTATGTACTTCATGCACAGATTGTTTTGTTAACTGATAATCAATATATCTATTTATGTCATCTAAAGAACTAGATATAGAATTCAAACCATGTAGTTTTTCAATTTTACCGATATTTCTAAATTCAGGTTTATTAAATGTAATATAATTTTCTTAATTTTGGTCACCAATGATTATTTTGGTTTCCGGTATCATATACATTAATTTTGAATTTCGTTCTGTTGTAACAGGGTATAATATATTCTGATTTGCATACCCTTTATATTGGTCACTTAAAGATAATAATCCTGTTCCTACATGTTCTATGTTTTCCGTTTTTCATCTACTCCACATGTTAGTACTACATTTTCTTTATCTATAGTGTAAATCCACCTATTTTTAAACTCTAGTTTATGAAATATGCTTAAATATAATTCGAAGTAAAGGTACGTACAGATTTTCGTGTTTTCTTTTTGTTTTGTAAGTTCTTTGAATGTACAGGTTGTATGGCATAATAGATAAAATAATTATTTATTTGTTTACACGTATTTCATTGCTGCGGTGTAAAGGTCGTAAAGTACTCATTCTATGGACTTATCGCTATATAATCATATTTATTTTTTACTTACGCGAACTGTTTATTATTAATTTTGATCGGCATAGGAATAATATTATACAAATTAAAATTTTGTTGATCTACTAAAGGTATTTTAATATTAAACATTAATAATTGATTTTGATAAACCACACTCACTTCCGATAATTGATACAAATTATATGGTTCAATATTATCTATATCAATTGGTAGTGATGTACCTTTAGGAAGAGGTAATTTAATTTCTTACATACTTTCGTGTAATGCCTCAATTGATAAAACTCCCGAATGTATTTGACCTGCCCTTGTCAGATTTATCATTTCCGAAACATAATTAGTCTCGGATGCATGCTGACTTAATAATAAATTTAATAACAAATACGAAACTTGTATTCGTGTTCTATGATCTAATTCTAATGTTTTATTTATTACTTGGTCGGATAAACTTCTAATAACCAACATAATACATCAAAGTTAAAAAAACGTGTTTATTTACCATGCGATATTGGACGATTGGAACAAGATATCAAAAATCGAGCTCTTTACGTTTCTTAAAAAAATTCTCCTCTACAATTTTTGTAATAAGTGTTTATACTGCAGAAACGCTTCAATAAGCCGTATTCCTGGAAGTACGAAACCATGTTTTTCGGTAAAAAAACGTTTAATTACGCTCGTCATGTGCTGCGCCCGTTACAGCCAGTGGCAGCGCTCGATACTAGGTGTTCATACCACCACCCCGCGCGAGTAACGGCAGTAAAAACAGGTTTTCCATCGCAGCCGTGCGCCTGTACATAATTTATAAATACCCAGAGAAGAAAACGTTTATTATATAATACCTATTTAGTGACAAACATTATTTAATTTTGTTCGGTTTTATATTTTCTATTCGTATCCGAATTTTATACTAATAAAAACTATACTTTTGTTCTTCAAGTAATACGGCGTATTGACGAGGCTTACAACAAAACTACCTATTATAAAAATTGTAGAGGAGAATTTTTTTAACAATCGTAAGAAATCCGTTTTTGATATCGTATTCTAATCGTCCAATATCACATGGTAAATTAACACGGTTTTTAACTTTTTATCCATTAATTCAACTAATTAATAAAAATATCGAAAAAGGGCTTCTTACGATTGTTAAAAAAATTCTTCTCTACAATTTTTATAATAGGTAGTTTTGCTTTAAACCGATTCAATAAGCCGTATTACTTGAATTATCGAACTATTTGGGTATGATAAAAAAACTAATTATTTTACGATATCGGAATAATTAATAATAATATAAGAAAAAAATCTAAATTAAATTCCATTGTAACAATTATTACAAATTAAATGTCATATAATAATTATATTATAATCGTTTTAATGAATAAATTATTATTACAATAATTAAAATATGAACTATGGAGTCAGAATAATTATTTAAAAAAAAAAACAAAATTAATTCAAATGTTATAAAATGTATTGTAAGTATTGTACACAAATTAAAAATATTTAATTATTACGATTTATGAACGAAATTTCATATTGTAATCATTTATTATATAATTAGTAACTGTACAAATAACTATAATTTATTATATAAATATTAATATATTAAATACACATAAATCATAATTTAAATTCCTAATACTTATATTTAACAAATGCGTAGATAAAATAAAATATGTATTCTTAAAAAATAAAGTATAACAACTACTATTAGTATGAAAAAATGTATAAGTAAGAGATTTAAATTGACATGTATAAAATGTAGTTATAAATTACAAAGTAAAGTTTATTGTTTTGGTGGAGCAATGGGCACAGGACAATAACCTAAATTATATTTTCCAAAGCTGAAATATTTTTTTTATTTTTTTTTTAATAGGTACAGAATTTTATACTCGCGTATAATATTATAATAACTATTGTAATGATTAAATATTTGTTTGTATATACAAATTCATACGCCTTATTTAATAATATTGAATTTAGTAATTCATCTTGTATATTTAACTTAAATAACTTAAATAACTTAAATAATTTGTATAAAAGATTCTTTGTCGAATTTTAATTTTTTTATTTCATCTAAATGAATGGGTTTTGGATATCATTGATTAAGTGTAATATTGCAACATGAATCATTTAAAATACTTAAATCTAAAGGTAGTGTTGCAAAAGACGATTCTACTGTTTGCTCTGTTATTGATACTTCTTTAGTAGTATGAGCTTGACACCCACCTTTCAGGAATAATTTTCCAGAACTTTTCAATGCAATTTTACGAATAAAAGATAGATTATTACAAATTATTGTAATTGTTGTAGGCTTTTCACACTCAAAGTACCAATTATTTTTGAAAAACGATGGGTACCATAATTCTTTTTTAAATTCCGTGATATAAGTATCACATTGCGTAGGTTTAGTTAAAGCATTTTTTAATATTTCTGTTACACAAGTAGGATCAGTATCACTATTGTGTAACATTTCATTGAAACCGCAAACAAAAATTGAAAAATGTCGGCAACTATTAAACAGTTATTGATATTTGACCAAATAAAATATTTTGTCACCACATCATCTGTTAATAAATACGTTGGATTTTCAGCGATATGTATAAATTGTCCGTGTTCATTAATTGGAACGTATATTGGTATAATATAATACAATTTGAAAATTTCACCGATACATAGTGGAATTTTTATTGAAACTATTATTCTATCGTTCATTGGGTGAAGGTCTATATGTAATATTTTGTATATTTCTTGTATATTAGTTTTATTAAATTTGATATTGATTTGTAAATTTTCAGGTAGAATATTTTCTATTTGTTTTATTTCTGACAACAACTTTACTGATCTGGTGTAATTATAAAAACATCTAATTTATTTGTTTGAACGTTTGATATCATTCTTTGTAACCTCCTTACAAATATATCTAATTCAAATATATTATTTTCAATTAGGGATATTAATCTTAGAACAATAGTTTGATTTTTTTGGTCTACTAATTCAATATTTATGTCGTTAATAGAGGTTACAATTTTTTTAATATTTTTGTTAAATAATAATTTACTGTCATTAAATGTTGTTATGGTTTAATTGAAATTTGTTATTGTGCTCCTTAAAATAGAGACTTAGTCCTGAACTATGTGTATCATATCTCTTTGATCATTCTCTAATTTGTTAATCGAACTATCATACCTCCGTACATCGTCAGCATCGGCAATACCGAACATCCACTGTACCGAACCTCCAGACTCAAATGATCGCTTAACCTTTTTTCTATACCTAGCCATTTGTCTAATTACCTGTATATCTAAATTTATTTTTTTTTAAATGCTTCTCTAAGTTATTCACAGTTATTTGGAAACTGTCCTTAATTGCATATGTGTTAATTGCATTTAACATATTCCTTATATCACTATGGCTATTTATTAAATATTTTAAATCTATGAATGTATTAATGGTCCAACTACTTTTACACAATTTACCATCCCCTAATATCTCGTACTGTAATCCCGGACTATTGGTGGTTAGAGTGAGGTTGAAAAATGCATTGTCTTGATTTTCACTGGATATACTATGATTGATTAGCAGAAACTGCAATAGCATGGTACGACAAATTACGTTCCAGACATCCATTTTCATTGTAATACTATGAAGAACATTTAATACAATTATAAAATTATTAATAATAGAAAAAAAAATCAATATGAATTATAATATTGGTACTTACTTTGTTTAGTAGTTTGACGTTATACTATAGGTATTTGACTATATTGTATTGCAACAAGTATATGATAGGTGCAAAAAAATATAAATGTAAATAATAAGTAACTCTATGTTCGTATTTCACATGGCAGTTCTTTGCACAAAAATTACAAGTATCCACAGCAGCTCTGATATAATTACTGTGTTTGTTATAAAATTGGTATTTAAAAATTATAATTATAGCTAGTGTAACTACTCACTGGTAATACTACGACTGACTGACTTTATTAGGGTTCGTGTGTTATCGCGACAATGCTCTGTGTCACATACAAAAACTCTTATTCAGCGATCTGCTTATTCAGTTATCTCCACGGCTTGTGCCATCGTACAACACACTATCTATGTTATACATAGATTATTATTGTATAATTACAATAAATGTTATGACTTTGATTCAGTTCTTTTATGAATATCAGGACACGCTCGTCGAATGTCTTGTTCTAGTTTCATTAGTGTATTTAGTTGATACGTGACGCGCGATTAAGTAGATATAAGTCATATTACGTGACATTGTAATGTGCAAATACAGTAAATATATTATTAACTTTGATCTGTAATTTTTATTGTTTAAACATTTATATACTTACAAAGTTACAAATATGTTTGAAACAAATAATCAACCACATAATTTATATGTATTGACCAATCGGTTAAAAGTTAATTTACGAGAAGCAATACAAATGCTTAAAAATCCGAACAAAGTATCAAACACTGTTGAATGTTCAAAACTTGAGCCACAGCCAGGTAAGTGGTATATTTGTACAGAATATAATAATACAAAATTAATTTCAGAAGGCATCGAGTGGCAAGCGACAGGCACAAATGTATTACCTAATGATAAAAAACCAATTATGCAAGTCGAATACTTTGCATCGGAAAATGTATACAAAAGTATTTTTAAGTTGACTGGAAAATATCGATATAATGCAACTTTGATAAATTATACACAAAGTTCAAACGCAAACATAACCGACCCACCGAAAAATGAAATCCATACACCACAGTATGGTTCTAAAAGAAGATCCATAAAAAGTGTAATGAAACATCGTTTTAAAATATTCAAAAAAATAACTAATGAAGAAATAGTGAATGACCAATCTAATATTGAACCAACTAGGTAATATCACTATTTTTTAAAATTATAAAATATTATTCTAGAGCATTTTTTTTAGAAACATCGTTGACCCATGTACTTTAGGAGCCGACTATTCCCTTCCAGGTACTTCATCATCTATTTCTACATCAGATTGGTAATAAACTAATTATTTTATACTACACAATTATGTTCTACATTTAAGTTATCTATTATCTATATGACTATATTCATAATTCATTCATCGTTTTACAGCTCAGCTGCCCACATATTCCAATATTTTGAGCATGTCTTACATGAAGATGAAGTAATTGAGTCCTCTGCTTTTGAAGCTAATGTATCTCGGAAGATATCATTTGAAGTAATAGATAAGTATGCACTATATTACACATGTATATACAGTGGAACAACTAGGGCTAAAGTGTTGGGAGGGGGCTGTAGTCCTACTGATATTACATGAAAAGTAACCCGTCGGGCCTCGAGGCGATGCGCCAACACCCTCCAAAATATAAAAAAATCATACAAAAAAAATAATAATAATATACTAAATATTAATAATGTGATAATTACAAATCAGCTTTTAAAAAATATTTGATCAATCAATTTCATGTGGTCGTAACTAATATTGTAGTCTAGGAATTATTTTTCCGAAGGTCGGTGATTTTTATTTTTTAATAATGTTAAAATATAGTAAGTTATACAAAGTGACGCAATAACTACTGCAGGGGCAGCCGGGACAAAAAAAATTTATTTATTATTTTGTGAATAGAAATGTTGATAATGAACCATTACGTACGTCAAGTACACAATGTAAGATACCATTCATTATTAGTAGTACACCATCCAACAAGACTTATGCAAATTCCAGTGATTTGGAAATATCGAATGTGGAAAGTCACGAGCTTAATACTTGTGAGAATGCTTATAGAAATCCGTAAGTTAAACATTATATTAGTGATTAACACACAAAAAATACCTTTTAATTTTTTTAATTTGTTGTAAGTTACTTGGAGTTAAATTGGGAAAAATAACAATAAATGTGTCATATATTAAAAATAATTTATATATTTAGATGTGTAGGTAATGTACTGTCTACTATAGAACCTACAATAACATCCCCTATAACTCGACTATACAATCGACTTGAATTTTGGTGTAACTAAAAAACGAAATACTGGAAATACTTGAATTTTGGTCGACTAAAATGGTCAAACAGTTAAGTCTGTAGTCTGTAAGTATAAATAACTAATTCTAATAAGGCGGAACTTAATAATTAATTACGATTGGTTTTTTTTTAGATTTTACACCAAATGTTTACTCCCCAAGTTGGTAATGCCTCAATATGGTAAACGGTTATTAATCAGTGATATTCGTGAACCAGATCACATTAAAAATAAAATAATTAAAGCCTAATAAACTTGATAAATACCTACAGTACTAAATATCGAAACTATTCTTTATAATTCTACATTTTGGGAATTTAAAATGGTTCATAAACTCAAAGCGTAAGTGAAGTATAAATGTATAATTAATGATTACAATTAAGACTTATACTATAATACTGTAATATAAAATATTTTGAATGTTATTTGTTTTAGATTTTATTTAAAATGTTTACTATCGGAAATAGTATAACCACTTTACCCAACTAGAATGCTAAAAAGTGATATACGAGAACGAGAGAAAGCCAAGTAATATAAATAGTAGTGTGGTACCTACATTAAGTTCTATAAATAAAAAATAAGAAATACCTAATTTTATTAGTTATTACTTGAATTATGAACTGTATCTAATTATATTTCCATAACCAATTTATTTCCTTTCAAAAAATTCTTTTTTATTGTATTGGTATCGGTATGCATATTAAAGTAAACAAGAGTCTCATTTATTAATTACAAACTAATAAATATAATACTATCGAATACACGCGTAATTCATAATATCTTTGTTATTACTTATTAGTAAATCGTAGGTTTCAAATTATTGTAGGATAGGTAGAAAGGTAGAACCTTATAAATAATAATAGGTGACTGATGTGTGAAAAATGTTTTAGAAATGTTAGAGATACGCAAGAAATGTAATTTAAGAAATATACCTATGTGGTAACAGTATAACATAAAATAATATATATTCAATTAATTAACCTACTAAAATATAATATTTAGATATTTAGGTAATACTAGTTTAGGTTACAGTTATATATTAGATATTATTTACTGTATTGAATACATTTTTTACGAAGTAAGTATTTAATAATGCAATAAATATAAGCCGCGTATAGGTACGCTCGAATATTAAAAATATTACGGCGGTAATGCGGTATAAATGTTATAATATACGTGTATGCATTTTATATTTACATGATCCGCCACAGACCAAGGTTGATAAAATAATAAACATCGCTCCCGAATGAGCAAAATTATCGGCCAGCCGCCGACTGTGAGTAGTGGGCGCGGCTTAAGCGTCGCGTGCTTGCGGATCGCGAAAACACCTGACAGCGCGTTCTCTCGGTCGTTGTATACGTTTCGCTTTCGGTGTGGCGTCCTCTTAATGTTATTATTTCTTTTTCTGATTCGTTTTTAAGCATCATTATTGAATTATTTTTTAAATCGCCTACAGTTTTTACTATCGCAGATGTCCCTTCTCTGCTTTTAGATTTTTGTTCGTTATTGTATTTTAGTTTACGGCAATCTTTAACAATATGTCCCGGCTTTTTACGGTAATTACATGATATTGAACTATTAGTGCTACTACTTCCGGTGTGTTTCTTTTTAATCATCGGATCATTTTTAGTATTATAGCTACTATTATTCTTAGGTTTTTTACATTCCCTACTAAAATGTCAATTTACAATTGAAGCACTTAGGTTTCGAAAAAGTAGTTGTATTTTTACTATCGTATTTCGTTTTTAAGTTTTTAAGTTTTCCAAAGCTTTATAATCTTCTAACGCTGCTTTAATCATGTCTTCTAAATTAGTTAATTTCATTGCCCTTAACACAGTCCTAATTTGAAAAAATAACCTGTCGACAAAAATATTTTGAGCTTGTGAAGTCAATACTTCCGTAATAGTCCTACATTGTACGATGGTTTTATCCTTAGTCATTTCGTTTACTAATCTGTATAATGCTAGCTCTACCCTTGCTGCATAGTCCTGAACTTTTTCATTTTTATTTTTAGTTTCAGCAGATACGTTTTTGAGTAGTTGTTTCCAAAATTCGCTCTTAATACTTTAGTTAATTCTTTATAATTCGTTATTGTTTTGCGCTGAGTTATACATAAAGCTTTACCGGACAAATTGCATAGGTAACAACGCTTCTAATACGTCATTAACAATCGTCTTCTCAATGTCCTTAAATACAAACTCTCATTTTTTTTTTTCAAATAACTTTAAATCCTGAGATGGTAACCCAGTGAATTCCGGCAACATGCTAATTGCACTACACGGACAAAAATAGTTGGTTGATTTAACTAAAATTATATGTATACTAGCCGTAAAATCTAGTTCCATATGGCATAGCCCTACATTTAGTTGCAAATACCAAATGGTTATAGTTGCAAGATTAATAGTTAATTTGACTAAAATATGCAGTTGCTAATTTTTCTTACAATATTATTTAGTTAAATCAACTATAATTTTATTGTAAATATATAGTAAACACAACCATAAAATGTATTAGTCTTACTATAGCATCAGTCAAATTTACCAAGCTTTTTTTTCTGAAACAGCTAAACATTTTAGTTGGCAATTTCTCTAACTAAATATTTAGTTAAACCAAACGATATATTTGTTTAAATTTATAGTAAATAGAACTAAAAGTTTTATAGTTTTTATTATAATTTTAGTCAAATTTACTAATTATTTATTTTTGGAATAGCTAAAAAAATATAGTAGATTTTTTCAACTATTGGAAATGGTTTAATTTAAACTACTATACTTTTAGAGGTGACCAAGTAGGTATAGGAAAAAGAAAGTATAAGGATTTGCTGTAAATATAGTAAATAATATTGAAGAGTCTCGCTAGAGACTCCTTTCTGTGCATAAGTAACACCGATAAGAAACAGAACCTTGACAACCGATAGCGAGACTATTATACATTAAGTTTCGTTTCGGCGCTCGGACCTCTCACTCGCACGCATTGGTTGAATGCAGAGTGCGAGAGAGACAGAGCTAAAAACCGCAGTTTTGTGAGTCTTTTTCTTTCGTCCGTCATAGCAACGTCATCCAACGCCGCGCCGTAGCAACCGCCACGCGCCGGCCGCTACCGTACCGCGAACCTCACCCACAACAACAGCTATTTACAGCTAGCTAGTTTTACGTTTGCAGAATTATTATTAATTATTATTTATTTTTATTATATTATAAAATATTTTTTACGTACTCGCGTTGTTGCGATACCGAGGTCTCGTGCATTTACATTATTACATACGTTATTTTACGCGATTTATTGTTACAAAACAACAGCTACGTAAATATGTACCTATTATTACTATTTTAATACTATTTTAATACTATAATAATAATTATTATTATTAAATAATTGTGTTATTAATATAAATTTATAATTAATAATTATATATTATATAATTATAAACATTTATATTGTATTTCTATTTTTATAGAATTATTATTCACAAATAAAAATAATAATTAGAAAAAATGTAATCCATAAATATAATATAATATATAAACCTCAGTATATCACAGTAAAACGTGCTTCGGAAAAATAATTGAAATCCTCAAAAAAAACTACTTCGGAGAAGTAAAAAAGGCTTTCTGTGCGTAAGTTGAAGAGATTGGGAGAAAAGATAGAACTTTGGTGTTAATAAAGATGTGAAATCAATCTCAAAGTTCTGTGCCAAAAAGGGCCACGGTTGAAAAAATAGAATTTGGGGCTTAATAAAGAAGTGAAATCAATACCCAAATTATGTGCCTCAACTTGAAAAAATATCTTATTCAAAAAAATTTCGAGATGTTCAACTGTACAAACATTAAAAAAACATATTAGCACAGAACGGCGTACAATAATGATGAATTAATAAAATTAGCCATAAATTGTCGACTTGTTTACGAGTTAATCTTTTTGATTCGAATTTTTGTTGACAAACTGTAATTCACGCCGTTCTGTGCTAATATTTTTTTTTAATGTTTGTACAGTTGAACATACATCTCGAAATTTTTTTGAATAAGATATTTTTTCAAGTTGAGGCACATAATTTGGGTATTGATTTCACTTCTTTATTAAGCCCCAAATTCTATTTTTTCAACCTTGGCCCTTTTGGCACAGAACTTTGAGATTGATTTCACATCTTTATTAACACCAAAGTTCTATCTGTTCTCCCAATCTCTTCAACTTACGCACAGAAAGCCTTTTTTACTTCTCCGAATATTATATATACATTAAAAAAAAAAACAGATTTATAAAACATAATAAAATATTTATTAATAAAAACATGTTTTTTTACACATTATAATTTCATAACATTTTTGTATAACATGTGATGTTTATAAAGGTATATAAGATAAATTATTTGATAGGACACAATGAACAGTGGGATGTACACTGTCTAATTTTTCAACTGAACAACATAATAATTTTTCAGTTAATTGTACATTATATGCTTGGAAATGTTCATCAAAATAATTATTTTCATAAATCTTATAAATAATAAATGGTATATTATCAGCTTGAATAAATATAGATATTATTAGTCCAAAAATTGGTAATATATTTGGATTATCACTTAAACTAACTAGAATAGACATATTATTACTATTATAAGTGGTTCCTTTAAAATTAATCCACGAAACAAATATTGCATCTTCTAAAAATTCAAAAGGGGAACATAAAAATTCAACTTTACTATACTCAAGCCATGTGGTTTCCGAAAGAGTTATTTGATGACTGAACTGCATATCAATAATATTATTATTTGATGACAAAACTCTGTATGCTAAACTAAGTTGGTGTTTCAATGCCAAGGTATAAGGGGAGTTCTTACGAGATGTAATTGATTTAGCAGTTTCCTTAAGCTGTTTATGTTTGGATTCAAAACGCATAGACCAAAGTGATGACAATGGTCCACACTGTTCCATAATAAAAGGATAGTGTATCATATGATGGAATTTGGGTTTGAGGTGAGTGTTAAATAATTGAATATATAACTCATGGTGCTCTTTTATTAAAACTTTACAGAGTTTAATGTCTTCTACTTTGAGGCATTTTCCTAAAAGAATGTCTATGATTTGTTTTAAAGTAACATATAAACACCAATATTTTGAATGTAAGGGAACTAATTCACCAATAATTAATGCTAAATTCTTTGTGAAACACAACATTTCAGAAGCAGACATCTTTATTATACCGCGTCTTAATGATTCATTTGATAAAAGTGGAGGTCTATTACGAATGTTAATAGGTCCATAGTTAAACGATTCTATCCTGTCATTAAGGATATCAATAGTAAAATAATTCAAGTCATATATCATAGTTTTTAACATCATACCAATATCGTATTTGCAAACACCCTCTAGGATATCATGCATGATATCAACAGCATAATTTTTGGTGACATGAAATGAGTTAATTTCGTTAAAAATGCAAAACTGTTTTATTCCAGTGAGGGTTAGGTCATTAACTGCAACATCATCAGAATAGTTAACTTCGTTTCTTAGATTATTATCGATTTGTTCTACCTGATGTTGGCATTCAGTCTTATGAGACTTGCAAAATCTACATGGAAAATTAGCTACAAAACTCTCTGAAAATCCTAGCATGGAATGTAAACCTAAATTATCACCTAAAATCAAACCCAGAGAGAAAAAAACTTTGTTGATTTTACCATTATAAAGAATATCGATTCCAGTAGTCTCTAAACATTTGAGCTCAGAAATAAGTTCTGAAAAAACAGCATGGTTCTCATATTCTTGCCTATCTTTAGATTTAAATAATGATACTAAAAATATATTTTCTAACGAGGAAGAATATTCAGGAGGTAGACACGCTAACGAAGCATAAACAGCACCCAGCTTATTGTTACCTGCGTGGGATCCTAGAGCATTGTTAATTTCGAAGTCATCAAAATATATAAATAATGGAAAAATAAGTTTTTGGGAATTGTCTTTCAGTTTACTTTGCCACAGTTGAGATTGGACAAAATTACTTATAAATTATTTGAACTACATTCCAATTGTTTCATATATTTAATTACTATCTCAAACAGATTACAATCTTGCAAAATTATTTTAAGTACAGATCTCAGAGGAATAACAGACATTTGAACTGGTTTTGGCTCAAATAAAACATGACCTCCCATCATTCTATCGGTTAATCCACACCCAATATCTACCATTTTAGGTCTAACAAGAACACCCATTTCATCTAAAGCTTTAAAACGCATATGTTCAGAATTTATATTAGAAAAAGGATTTTCAAGGGAATCAAACATGAGTAACATATCTTTAAATAAATTAATTTCAAAATTGTTAAGACTTATAATATCGAGGAGTTTTTTTTTTTAAAAGAGATAAAAATGAATGATTAAATTGTTGTATATCATCAAACAAAACTTGTATTATTTTTCTGGGAATCACACTATTATTATACCACTTAGATGCCAATGATATTGAGTTATAACGCAATGTATTATTAAATTATTTAATTGTAATTGATTCTGTACAGTGATGACTTGAAGGGATGTCATCATTTAAAACTGGGCAACTGACAAAGTGTAGAGCTGAAGTTTTGTGTTCTTTAGTAAAATTCAAATACTCATTAGAAGTTGAAACATCGGGTAAGTTTGTATGTAGGGTCAAATGATTTTTATATGAGTGAAAAGTAGTCAAAACTCTACAACAATTAGGTTCCAAACATTTAAACTCCATCAAAGATTTTGGATCGTGAAAAATATTTAAATGAGTGATTAAATTAGAATTTAAACTGAATGTTTGGTTACATATAAAACACATAGGCATAATGAGTGTTTTACTTTAGTTTTTTATGTAAATATTTATTTAAAAAAAGATAATACTTATATCAATAAGAATAACAAAAAAAAAAAGTAATTCGATACAATTTAATATATTAATTGTCTGTTGTTACACTTTTAAGTAGATAAGACAAAATTGAAGTTAAATTATGAATAACAAAAAGAAATCTTTTTAATCATATAAGTAAACACTACAATATATTTTAAACAAATATCAATCATAATTTATGAAAATCATTAACTAACGTTTTTACAGACAAAATGGATTTGTCGGATTTAAGTTTAATTTCAAAAAAATAATGTTGTATAAACAACCATACCTGTTCACATTCAGTAGGATAGTGAACATTCAATGAAAAGAATGACTTAAAACATACATCCACAGCCTTAATCAATGTTTCTAATTTGTAGTATGTATTATCAATCACGACAAAAAATTCAGTTGAATCGATAACAATTACATATGGCTGTAACTTTAACCCATATTCAAAAGCTTTGTCTACTTTAACCTTATGTGCTATTTTTAATTCACCAACATCCTAAAAAAAAATCCATCAAATTTAATTTAAGAACTATTTTAAATTAAATCATGTTTAATACTACTTACAGATATAAATGTGATAAATGCTGCAGCTTGCTCTGCTTTAGATGGTCTCCAAACTGATGTTATCCCATCAATTTTACGTTTTCCATTTAACTTTACCGTTAATGGTTGAAATAAGAGTGGCAGTAATTTAAAAACTGCTGTGTATTCGTTACCTTAAAAAATACATAGTATCAATTTATTTTAAGAAAGTTAGAATAAACTGATAAGTATAATGTATAATTTCATATTGCTAAATGATATAAGATTTTAATTAATTAAATATTTACCAGGCTTTGATGGAGTTTGCAGTTCTTTTAAAATACTAGGTCCTTGGATTCCAAATTGATAATTAGCACTTTTAATATGTTCAATAAGCTTTACTACAAAAACATCTATTTTATTTAATAGTTTGAAATCTTTTTCAGGATATAAATGTTTAAAATCAAGTTCAATCTGAAATAAATATAAAACAATAACAGATAATATAGTATTTTAAAATTAAATAAATTAAAGAAAATTTTTTTTAAAAATTACAGAGCATGTCTATAATAGGTAACTAGCTTAAGTAAATTGAATTAATTGAGATTGTAACCATTAAAATGCCACACATATTAAGTAGGTAATCAAAAAGGTAAATATTTGCTTTTAGTTGTTAAGAGTATGCTACTAGTTAGAATTTTAAGGTTAAAATCATAGGTATTATGTATTTAACTATTTATATTAATATTTAACAAAAACTAACCAAAAAATGGCCTAAAGGTCTGTTTAGAGCAGGATATAGTTCCATTGAATTATGTTTTTTATGATGTCGATATCTAACTGTTTCTACCCAATATGTCTGAAGAGTTTGGCTTGGTTGAGTATTATTTTTGAGCCAAAGAATTTTATCCTCGTAATCTATTAAGACATAAATACAAAGTTACAAAAATAATATAAATCAAAGATGTATTTAAATCAACCTGAATCTATAAAGTTGTGATTATCAACATCACCAGAATGCGTAGCAACATCAGTGTTTGAGTTAATATTAATTTTCTTTATATGTTTTTTTAGATTGCAATATTTATCATATAATTTTCCTTTCATAGGAATTACATTATTGCCATCCTTACAATATGGAGTGAAATAAGTTTCTTTTATTTCATTTGGGAACAATTTTTCAATGCCAATATTAAATAAGTAGGTGTCATTAATGATAATACATAAATTGATATACATATATTAAATATATAGATTAATAAAATCATTAGTCATAAATCCATAGATAAAAATTATAGAAGTATGAATATCGGTTGAAAAAAATGTTTTTATATGACAATTGTTTAATCTAAATATTAAGTATAAATAGTAAATACATCAAGTTGATAATGTAATACGATTTTGGTCCAATGCCTGTATCAAGTTAATACATTAAATTACTTTTTTTTCATCAAGAAAAGAAAATTAAATTTGAATTAAACAATTAGTTTAATTAAAGTCATAGAAATAAAAAATTAATTTGATTACAACATTAAAATGAGTAACCAAAACCAAACTTATATGTTTGTATTTACACATGTACTTATAAATTATTAATTGCAATTATTATTCACGAAAAATATTAATAACATTATACCTAGTAGAGGTTTACAGTCTTTGGTATTATTATTGAACAATTAAGTATCTAAGTATTCCTTCAGCTAATAATGAAAATTTATTTTTTTCAATTTTTAAATTATGTTCGCATTCTTGAATTTCATGTTTTATAACTACTGAACTTAGAGTGTTTCTCATGGATTGATTAAGGGTACCAAATGTGTCATAATACTTGAAAACCAACTTCCCATCAGCATAATTGTTTAATATTGTTGAGACATAATCTTTTGATTGTGGATTCTACAATATATTATTTAAAAAACAAAAGTAAGTATTAAAATAATATTACTACAACAGCTTTGAAGATTAACCAGTGGCTTGCAAGTTTATCTCATGATTTGCATTAAGCTTATTGAATTACTAATACATGATTGCTAGCCACTATTTTATTTACAAAATATATTTAAAAAAAATATTATTATTGACTAAATTCCAGCTATAGCTGGAACACTGGTTATAACCAGTGTATGATAAGAAAAAAATAACAGGAAGGACATAATTGAATACAAAATAAAGCTTACTATGATCTATATACCTATATCAGACTATTGAAAGTGTTAAAATTATTATGTTTAAGACTAGGAGTGATAACCCTTCTTTAGTGACACCCTGAATAATAAATTAGTATTACATCAAACATCATAGTGGAATGGTGTCAATCAGATGAAGTGTAAGCTACGATAATTCAAAAAAATAATTAGTACTCAATAATTTCCCTATGTATCACTTTTCTCAAGTCATGCACTGGCTATAACAAGTTTCTACCTCTTCAGACTGAACCGCATGTATATATGTAATTTGGTTTTTGTCTGTTATTATGCTTCTTTCTAAATATTAAACAAATTATAAAAATAGGTGATAAATATGTGTTTATTATTAAAATATAAGAAATTGAAAGAATTTAGTGGTAACATATACCAGAGCTGTCAGTAATAATACTAATTGAGTCTAGATCCTTTGATGTTCCTTCAGGAAACAAGTTTTCATGAGAAAACAAATCTGTACTAGCAAAAGGTTCTTGTATTTCAATTACCATCTGACTTATGTCTTCATCGTAAGTTACTACAAATTTAATACAAATTTAATTTGAAAAATAAAATACTAATTTGAATGTATAATAAATAACAAAAAATTTAACACCATACCATCTTTCTGTGGTTGTAATTTAGAAATGTGAGTTATCTCTTCCAAAAATCCCTAATGGAGAATATATAATTAAGCACAATATAGAATGAAATTTGTAAATGTGAGAATTTCATCATTTGTAAATTCACGCAATTACATAGGTAGTAGGTACATTGAATCACAATCAAATTAACAACATATAATAAACCAGATATTTCATCAAAATTATTCAACTCACTTGACTTGTCTTTTTATATTCTTTCCGCTTACAAAAAATTTTTGACCTTTTTCCAATTTTAGGAAATAGCTCTTTTATCATGTCTTCGGTTCAATTTAATAATTCTTTCTGGTCAATCTCCTCATCTGAATAATATTTATATTATAAGAATTAAAGTCGATAGCTTTATTCTATTAACAGCTAACAAGATTGATAATGTATTTTCTGATGACGACAACACTTAAATTGTTATATTTTTCAGTAGGTGTATAAATATATAATATAGGTATATTGTAAATAGGTAGGTAGGTGTATTATATTATAATCTAAATTTGTGTTTTCATTTTTTATTCAGACTTTGTTTAATAATCTCCTTACCTACAAGAGTAGGTATTTAATATGTTAAAGATTTATTGTATTATATTTATAATATTACCTATATTAGTTAATTACATAATACCTATTGATGTAGTACGAGTAAATTGTATAGATAAACACTAATATTATTATAATGAAAATGGAATTAACTAACAATATATAAATACTAATAGTTATTAGTATAACTATACGTTAATAATATTATTTAGTAAAGAGCAATATATACGTATGGTAAAAAAAACATAATGTAGCAATGTACGTAGGTACTCGACAGTCAAAAATTCAACATGCAGTTTTAACCACTTTGTAGTGACTAGTGGGTAAGCATGGGCGTAACTAGGATTTAATAGCTACAGGGGCTAGAGTCCTAGAAAACCCAAGTCCAAGATAATTTGTGGGGGGCTTTGCCCCCCACACCCCCCCCCCTCCAAGCATCCCTAGCATTTAGTAATCACAAGTCCTCTAAAATCAAAATTTAAAATAAACCATAGAATCAAAGTATAACCTAGTCAATAAAAACAAATTTACATTATAATTTATAACTGTATACGCCTATATTTTGATGAAAACAGTTTTAAAATATCATCATCGTTTATTACATTAGATAGTTCTCTTTCTATATTAAGTATAGCCAGATCACTAAATCTGTTTTGGGTCATAGTTGACCTAATGTATGACTTAATTCTCCTCATACAAGAAAAAGATCGCTCACACGTAGCTGAGCTTATGGGTATAGCAAATGCAGTCTTTAACAATGAATAAACATTTGGATAAACTTCTTGTTGTACAACTGATTTTAACAGTTGAGATTGTGTTTTTTCTTCAACATTCATACAGCTTATGGATTTGTCTGAATTTTGAGCATTTACCAAACACTTTTTTGCTACTTTTAGTTCACACTTTAATGCATCTTCATCTATATTAAATAAAGACTAGAACAAAAATCAAAAGAACTATGTTTAGGTCAAAGTATTATTTAAATGTAAAATTATAAAAAATACTCCATCCATCACCGATTATGTGTCAAATTATTTTAATATTAGTTGGCTGCTATTTAATTACCTTATAACTATTAATAAAACAGGAACTTTTTTCATAATCAAGTTCTAAAAAGCTTTCAACTGACTGGGCTAATTCTAAGCTTTGTGTTGAAAATCTGGATTTCATATTGACTATTAAATTATCAAGTATAGGGAAAAATGCATGAACTTTCCAAAAATCAATTGAAGTAATTTCACTATTTTGTTGAAAGTTCTGATCAATAGCACTTGTTGTGGTGCTCACCACATAATCATTTAGTTGTGTTACCTCTCTTCTCTTTCTCTTGGACACTGAAAAAATTAAATAATATTATTTATAATTGCATAAATTTTAAACTTTAGTTAAATAAGTGATACGGGGTGAACAATAACATACGTCTAGTAGGAATTTGCAAATCTATACAGTTTTCTATTGAAAAGTTTTCAATTTCTTCCCAAAGATTTGAAAAACTTTCTGAATTTCTGCTATCTTCAAATGTTTTAATTACTCCAATAACAGTATTAGCAGCTTTTCCTAATGTTTCATTTTTCATTTGTAATTTACAACTCAAAATTTGAATGATACTTAATACATAATTCATGATATGTAAATATACAACAAATTCTCCTTTCAACATCATGGCCAATATTCCTATAAAAATATATAGTATACAATTTTTTAACATAGGTATGTCATAATTTATTACCAGAAATCTAATATTTACCAATAGCTCGACTAACATCTCGATCATTATTTTCTTCTACCTCTTCTTGTAAAACATCTACAATTAATTTGAAGTTTTCAATAACAGCTTTACAATTTTTATGCCTACACACCCAACGTGTATCACTAATACTTGATAATGTTACAAGATTCATTTTTAGTTTGACTTGCATATCTTGAAGCTTTTTATTCATAGTAGGCATAGAAAAATGTATATAAATTGCTTCTAAAGCATTGAAAACGTTTTTACTGTACTATAACCATAAAATATTTTAAGTTTTATAATATGCCTATACATAAATAAATGATACCTACAAATAATAGTACATACCTTCACATTTTTACACATATCAACCACCACTAAGTTTAGCCTGTGGGCCATACAATGAATGTAAACCGCACTAGGATGATACTTCTTAAGTAATGTTTGCACACCTCCTCTACAACCAGACATCACACTGGCCCCATCATAGGATTGAGCAACGATAGGAATATTATCTAAGTTTAATTCTTTCAAGAAAGATAAAATAAAACTTAATAATGAAGCAGCAGTTTGGCTCTGTGATACATTTACAAAGCCCAGAAAACGTTCAAGAATTTCAAAATCTTTTGTGTATCTAATACAGATAGACATTTGCTCTTGCTTATGACACCTTTGAAAAATTACTTCATTATTATTATACATTCTTTATTTATAAATAAATAGATAGAAGCCTAAATATAATAGATAATTTGTAATAATAATACAACATAGGTAATTTCTGTATAGTTAGTAGTTACTGTATTATAATAATATTATATAGGTATAAAGTTTTTGATTTGGGTGTTTAAAAAAAATATTCTGTATAGGTAATGTAAAAATAGTGAACTAAAAGTATTTTAATTAGGTATTAAATAGTTAACAAATACCTCTATTTTTATTTTATAATTACAAACATTATGGACTATGGTCTTAATTAATAGAATATTGGTAAATTATTACAACTCACATCTAAAATCGGTTTTACAGGACCAGTTTCTTTGTTTCCCAAATCGCTCACATTATTACTATCTTTAATAATTTTTGAATTAATATTTAAAGTGCTTATCTCACATTCTGATTTTGTTGATTCAGCAACTT